ATTTCTAGAAAATCATGTTTGTGGTAGTTATATGATCCCAAATTTTGCACACACACTCTCTTCATCTCAATAATCAATCCCCTGAAGAAAAAAGTTCAATTTGACTAGATATGGTCAAAATGAGTCCCCTACAAAAACGAATCTAGACCATCCATTTTGTAAATTTCAATATCTTAGCTTTTATAAAGTCAAAATCATTTTTTTATTTTTTAACATTGTTCATCTAATGATAACAAAGCCATCCAAAAAAATTGGAAAAGAAAAAAACCTTCTAAGGCCTAGATCTAAGCATCTTACCAAAATGAATGCTTATGTTAATTGGGCTAAAAAAATACTTTATACATTGTGTTTTCAACTTTTTCTTTTTTTGTGATTGTTCATTAGAATGAAAAGAGTCTATATTTTAAATTTTGGATCAAACAAATGGCCATAAGATGGTTTTTTAAGGTTGTTGCATCATATTACTATACAATGGGCGCATGAAATCATTGCCCCATATATCTATGGAAACACTACACAATGCTTATAGGCGAAAATGAACAGTGATTTCGTCTACCCCCATCACCGTCCAAAATTCATCGTGCGGTCACAATTATCTGGTAGTATTTTATTTTTAATTTTTTTCCACAAATCGGAATGACCTGAAATTTGGAGCGTGTATTTATCAAAAATAGGAGAATCTTCAAAAAATATAAAAAAAATATTTTACCCGAAAAACATTGATCAAACTACCCCTGAAATTTTTTTGGGGTATTTTGGTCAATTTATTTTTTACGGATAATGTTTTTTATATTTTTATTAGATGCGCCTCAATAAGATATACATACCCGTCAAATTTCAGATCATTCCGATTTGTAGAAAAAAAATGAAACATAAAATACTACCGAACAATCGTAACTGCGCGATGAAATTTGAACGGTGATGAGAGAGGACGAAATCACTATTTATTTTCGCCTATAGGTGTTGAAAAGACTTTTTTTTCTCTCTATATATATATATATAGACTAACCAACCCCTAATTTAATAGTCGGGACCAATCT